GTAATGCCGAAATGCGATCACTGACCCAGATATTGTGAATCAAACCAGCTGGAAACTGAGGCTCAATAAAACTCCCCAGCAACGCCCCTCGCCCCTCGCACCTCGCACACAAAAACGACAAAATCAACAATCAAGCCAAGTCAACATCACGGCCGAAACGCAGGGCTTAAAATGCTTTTGACATGCAATAAACCAGCAACAGCTCTCGCGAAAAATTCTCCACCGATTACATTGAAATTAAGTGGAAACGCTCCATGGAGATTTAAAACACAAAAGCTAGAAAAGCCTATGATGAGCTTTAAAAATTACTGACAGTCATTTAACTTAACCAAATTAAGTTTGCTGCCACTTTGTTTTCGATTTGCAGCACAGTTTCAGCAGCAACTTCTCTGCCAAAAACTGGAATTTAATTTTAAACCACTGTTTTCCACCGAAGGGGCGTGACTGCTCCACTTGGGAAAGCGCAGAAGTGGAATTGTTCTTGGCCCGTTGGCTCGGAATTAACCTTTTGCGTGTATTGTGCAGAAGGTCAAGCCAAGCAGTCCAAATTTAAGGCAATATTCCTTGGCACAGAGCTGCTTTTTGGTTGCCCCCTACTTGCCGAACTGTTTTAATTAGAAATGCACGGAAGTCAATTTATGGCCTGCTGGGCTCAAACATAAGTGTAACAGGAAGGTGGGTATTTGTTTAAATTTAAGGTGCTTTATGCAGCAATTCTCACTTAAGTTTGGGTTAATGCACTGGGAAAGCTCTTTAAGAGCAGATGTTAAAAATATTCTTAGCTGCATCTTTAATTGCACAAACGAAAATGAAATAATTGAATGAAAACTCTATAGGTAAGTGCTAAAATATTTCAAGGCTGTCTCATTGAGGAGCGATGTAGGTACTCCCATTTAATCAACATTTTAACCAACTTAACCTGAAAGAGCAATTAGAATTATGTCACATTTGTGCAACCGGAGGTAGTCGCTCGTTAGACGTCCAAATTTATTATGGTCGCTGCCAGAGCCGCAAAATCCTTTCGAGGCTTTTCCTGAACGTTCTCTGCCACATAATCCAAGCTGTTTTTATGTGGAAACTATTGTGCGGCAAGTTTTCTAAGCATTTCCATACGAGAGCGTTTCAAAAGGCCACAAACTGTCCGCACACACATTCGTTGCAGTTCACTTTCCCCTCAAAATGGCAGAGATTGTGAGATTGTGAGAAAAGCAAATGCCGGAGGACAGACAACTGACACAATGTCGACTAAAACTGTCGACAACTTTTCCCATCCGTCTTCTGGCCGGGAGCGGGAATTCGGGATCGGGATCGGGACCGGGAATTGGGGCCTCCACTTACCTCCTCGACGGCCTCGCACTCGAACAGATAGATGTGCAGCAGCGGGTCCTTGGGATCCTTCAGCAAGTAGACCAGCCCGGTGATGGGGCCCTGGAACTCCATGAAGTTCTGCGGCTGCTCCGCGGATGCCTCCGCCGACTGCTGCAACTGCAGCTGATAAGCACACGCCGCGCTGGAGGAGAGCGAGCCGTACGACGTGGATGCGGTCAGTGTGTGGCGCAATCCGTTTCCGGTCAGCGAGCCGCTGGCTCCGCCGGCCATCGAGGCAGCGACTGCTGAGGAGGCCGACGCCTGGCCAGCACTCGACTTCAGCTGCAGGAAGCCGTTGCCGATGCTCTTCGCCTGCGGCTTGTGGATGATGCGGCACATGCCGACGATATGCTTCAGGGGGTGGCTGAACTGCAGCTCAAAGTCCGAGTTGTACGACTCCAGGATGCCGTGCTCGATGCCCACCGACAACTGCAAGGGAGGATTTCATTTAAATGTTGTGTATTCGTTAAATATTTAGTAGGTTTAGTGCCACTACACTAGGAATGTTGCAATGAACAACAATTTCTGGTAAGCCCAGTACATAGCCTCGAATATATACATAGTTCAAAGTATATTACTATTAGTAGTTATGGTTATATTTAACCATGTTTTCGTTTACTCAGCAAAGGAAATCTCGATTGTGTAGTAAAATAAGGCTGAAATATATTACAATGGGGATAACTGCACGTTGTTCATAATTCGCTAGAATGTTTCCACTACGCGAAGCAGACTAACAATATTAAATTCCTTTTAATCAGTTTACATACTTGCTTGCACAAGGAGAAAGGGACGGCGCGCAATGAGAGCGGGACAGAAGGAGGAAGCGCGCATTGGTGACAACGAGGACAACGACAACATGACATGCCTGCCAACATGGCGGCTGCTCCATTTCCGGCCCCGGCGCACTTCCGCCTCCTGCTCATTTGCCTTCTTTTCGCTTTTTCCCTCTGTTCTTGGCCCTTTTTTATGCTAACAACTAAGGCCCGGTAACTAGGGAGTGTCGACACTACGAGCCGAATGCTTTTTCTGGGGGGAATGGGTTGACTGGGGGCGGAAATTGGGTTGTGCCCACTGTTGGGTGGGTCGTTGTTGTAGTTGCAGCTGTAGTTGGCAGAAAGCAGGTCGTTGTGTTTTTAGCCCCATTGGGCGGCAGTTCTCGTTTCACCACAAGTTTGCTGTTGCCAAAGGTTTTGCAAATTGGAAAAATAGAAATATAAAATACACTTACATACCCACGTCAGTTACAGGCTGTGTGAATTTCTAAATATAATTAATTAAAACCGAACTGCTAGCGAACAGTTTCGTTAAAGCAACCTAACAAGTAGGAGCCATCGACCTTTCGAAAGGGTGGACAAATGAAGGCGTTCATTATCGCCGGATAGCTCCAACGAAATGAAAACTTTTCCTTCGCAAATTAATTTAAAATCAAAGTAAAGTTTTCCCCGGGTTCGAGTGTGTGGGCGTGCTCATGAGATGGGCGTTAACTTAGCCAACTAAAAAAGGACGGAAAAGTTTTTAGCCAAGTGTGGGAATAACAAAACAGGATAAGTTTAACTTATGGTTTCTAAACCTAAGGCGCTGTATTGGGGTCAGATAAACATTTTATTGATTTTTCTAATTCAACATTTTTCGGGCAAGTCAATAGAAATTGGGAAGAACAATAATGAAGTGAAAGCAAATTAAACTATTTTCGAAAATTGTTGGCATGTCAGCTTTAGGCGTTTTGTGGGGGGTCAACATTTGGGAACAAAATTGGACTGCGTCTATGTCTCTGAAATCTGCATGCTTAATCTCAACATTCTAGCTATTATAGTTTCTGAGATCGAGGCGTTTATACGGACAGACCGGCGGACAGACGGACACGGACAGAACGACTCCTCTAGTGATATTCATCAATCAGATATAATATAATATAATGCATGACATTTTAAATTGAATTAATTTCCTTTGACACTTGACGAGGGATTCATGCTGTCCATCACAGGCAATGCCACTCCTCGTTTATTGAGTACCGAATTAAGTGCTGTGCAAAGCCTTTGTTGTCAGGTAAACTGTCATTTTAAAATTTATAAATCTTTCTACCATTTACCTTTTGTATCAAATTTTTAACATTTTATGCACTGTGCTACCTTGGAAAATATCTGTTAGATGCAATTTTTATGATAATTAGTTGCTATACCTTACAACACAATGGAAATCTTAAGACGTTGATCCACTATTCTCTTTCCCCCTTTTAAAAAACGAGCATTGTTCGTGCCTAACACTTTTTCGGAGTTGTCCATTATTAAGTTGCATATTCTTCATGTCTAATTGTTTTCCAAAACCTCACAGGCAAATTGTTATGTGGCACACTGCGTATACGTAATTTCTTCACTTGCTGGAACAATTAACTACTTGACCTCTTTTGGCCATTCTTTATGTACTCTTTATCTTTTTTTCCTCGATTCCTAGTTAGAATCAGCAGTATATTCATTAAAAAGTATGTAACAGGCAGCAGGAAGCGTTTCCGACCAAACAAAATATATATTCTTATCAGGATCAATAGCCTGATACATAGCTACAAGCTACATAGCTATATCAATAGTCGAACTATATGTAAACTATGTATAAACGACTCGATCGAACTATAAAAGGTATAAATGCTTTCAGATTCCAGAGGCATCGACGCACCGCAATTTTGTTTCTAAGCGACGCACCGCCCACAAACCATTTCTATCGATTTGCAAAAAAACTTTTTACCACGCCCACAAACCGCGCAAAACTGCTACGCCCACACATTTGAAACATCTTTTAGTTTATTTGTGTTTAATTGCGTTTTTCGCATATCTATAGATATGCAGAAAATGTGAAAACTTCTCGTTCGCACTTCCACAAGCTGAGTAACGGGTATCTGATAGTCGGGGAACTGAACTAAAGCGTGCTCTCTTGTTTTGCATTTGCAATTGTGTTTGCGGTTGCCTTTGCACGTTATTGTTGCATTTGCCCGACGATGATGGTTGTTTGTTGTTGTCATTAGAATCGCTGCCAGGAGCAGAAGTTGTGTGTTTTACCCAGTGATTTATACGTTTTAACTGTTTTTTAGTACCTATTCGTGCCCCAGCTGCAGTTTGTTGTTGTTCATTGCACTGCTTCATGTTGTTGTTGTTGCTGCTAACGTTGGCGCAGCTTAGCATTATAATTAGCATTAACTGCAGTAGCTGTTGTTTCTGTTGTTTTACTGCCGACGTCTTAATAACGACTCCCCAGCTCTGAAATATGGCCCTAAATACCCGCGGGGTCAGCCGAAGAACCTCTCTTTTAAGCCCGAAGGAGGGTCGGGAAATATAAGGGGAACCACTCTATCCATAGACGTTGGGTAAACCTCTCCCTATCTTTTCTTCATATAAGATCTTTTTAATATTGACCTCATGGGGAATAATTAAGTACTACACTGTAAGTATTGCACTGCTCCTTCTCCCAACTATCCTTTGAACTTCAAACTCTTTTTATTATAAGAGCACTGGTAAAAAATGTTCATAATTATAAATTCGCTAGTTTGATATTTCAAATTTACACTTCAAACTATAAATGGGTGCAGTATGTTTCTTTTCAAATAAATAGTAAAAAATAGTAAAAAAAAAATAGCACTAGTGATCAAGGAGTTTGATAATGGAGCTGAATGATTCGCTTAAATGTACGTTAAACAGTTTTTAGTTTGGGATGGCTACTGAAACAGTTGTTATAGCACTCGATTTTTAGGCACATGACAACATAGATCGACACAAATACAGACTGTAGAAACCCAAGGAGATGGAGCAGCAGAGTGAAGTGAATCCCCAGCGGGTGGCCGCCTTCTTCAGGAGAAGCAACTTGGGACCCGTGTGCCGGGTGCAGTCCACCTCGGACATTGAAGCCTGGCTAGCCTCAAGGGCGTACTCCACACTGATAACGTATTTGAACGATGTGAGCACGGAGATACAGGGAATCCGGAGCACGGACTTGTTTCCGATCGGCCAGAACATCAGGCGACTGTCGGCCATCTTCGACAAGCTGGACGCCATGATTGTGGCCAATCCTCCGGCGCCTGTCGCTCTAGGTGCTAGCTTGGATCCAGGAAACAAGGGCTACAGACGCTGGGCGCACAGCATGCTAAGGGACATATACCAGATTGTGGAGGAGGCGGTGCCCTCCAGCAAGTGCCGGCACGTGAACGAGCTGGGGGTGTATTTGTCGGGCTCCTTTGGCAGCTCTACAAAAATTGAGTACGGGACCGGGCACGAGCTGAGCTTCCTGTTCTTCATGTGCGCCCTGTTCCAGGCGGAGATCCTCAAGCAGGAAGAGGACCTGGCCGCCTCGGCCCTGGTTCTGTTCGATCGCTACCTGCAGTTCGTGCGCCGGCTCCAGGTAACCTATTCCGTGAACTCGTCCAACTGGCATGGCGGATACTCGCTGGATAAATTTCAGTTTGTGCCATTCATTTGGGGATTAGCGCAGCTGTGCTACGAGGCACCTTTCTCCCCACAGAAAATGCTGAACGAGGATACCATTGCCCAGTACAGGAAGGCGTACATGCTGATCAATTGCGTGGGACACATAGCGTCCACCAACATCGGCACCTTTGCCCGCCACTCCAGCCAACTGTGGAGTCTGGCCGCCCTGTCCTCGTGGCCGAAGATCCATCGCAGTCTGATGTTCATGTACATGGAGGACATCCTTCTGGACGTTGACAACCTGAATGCCCTGCGGTTTGGTGAAATGATGTCCTTTGAGCAGGACAAAGCTGGCCGGCATCTGGGCAACGCTCGTATGGGAGTGCAGTCTCCGCTGCGCCGCCAGATGGCCGAGGATCAGGACGACCAGGATCAGGACCAAGATGTGACTCCCAGAAGCGGCACACCCTCCATTTCCAGGTCGGAGCAGAACGAAGGTGCCAGGAAGAAGCCCAGAGTGGAAGAGCCCCTCAGCGACTGCATGTCCAACAGTGGACTTTCCCTGGGCAGCGAATGCTCATCCCTCAGCGGCGTGAGTGTCCATCTGCCCACTTGGTTGGATGATTTTCCGGGCAGCAGCAAGAACGCGTTTTAAAATTAAGGGCTGTGAATTGTCTAAATCACAACTAAATATCTAAAATCAAATGCGCAAATTGACTATGAAATTGTTCATTTGCATGTTAAACTAGTGAGCACAGAAACTGTTTGCCAATAACTAAACACACATTTATCCATTATAGCAAACAATGCTGGCCAATATTAATAGGTGCATTGTTATACCGAAATGCGGAAATATTCCAGCTGCTATTGCTCCCTGTAATGCGAATGTGATGGGTGTCATCTGCACGAATATCCGGGGACGACATCAGCAATCTGCAATCTGCAATATGCAATGTGCAGCATGGCAGAATGGCAACGACGTCAAGAGACCGCACATGGCATACATGGGTCCAAAGATCAGCAGACCACGTAACCGACTTCCATCAAATTCAAAACAGCAGCCAACTGGAATGCAGTGGGCGGCTAGGTGGCACCGGCTGAGGGTGTATCCGCCGGGATCCACGGAGGAGCTCGAGGACTGCGAGCTGGCGACGATGAAGTGCGAAGGCAGGAGGACTCTGGGGGCGTAGTGGGTGGACTGAGGGAGGGACGCGACTCAAGTGACTCGACCAAAAGCGGATTACCAACGCGACTTGAGTGACTTCCCGAGCGGGAGGCGGCAAAACAGCTATAGTGGCAACAATTGAAACGGCAGCAGCAGCAACCACCGCGTAGCAGAGGCGCGTTGGGAAAATGGAAATGAAAATGAAACAAGCGGCCTATTGATTTTTCCTCTCCAGGCCCATCGCTTAACTCGACTCCCTGGCGTTGTGACGTCAATGGGCCAACATCGCAGGCAGATGGAATGTGGGGGCCATCGGGAGGCCCACTACCTGAAATCCTCGGCAGGCCTCATTCGTGTTAATCAAATGTATCGAAGGGGAATGCTCTGGGTGAAAAAAGCGGGAATCCCTTCCATTGCTAGTGGATTAGAAGTCCGTTAAATACGTTAGAGCCTCCTTGTTGGCCAAGTGCGTATACAACTTGGTTTATAGGTGGCACACAACGTACTACAGTGGAAATTGCAACGATTTGTAATACTACTTATTATGTTAATTTGACCAACTTTCTCAGTTTTTAACACATTATATTTCTGAATCTGTTAGAATTTGAAGTCGTAAAATTGCCAGATTTAAAGCACTTACTTTGCAATAAAAAAAAAATCATGATCTTTAATTCAAGCTCAATGCAAATCCGACGATATAATGATATATTTAGATATAATTGTGGGCAAAACAGGTACAGATATGCTAATATCTTAAGTTATGTTGTTACCAAAAAAGCTCTGCAGCTACGACTTTTCGATCTACTAAACCTTATTTGCGGAAATTTAGTTCAGGCGATTGCACAATTTTCAAATAGATGGCTGCTGAATGAAAACACAAAATAATTGGGAACATGAGAAACAAATAGCAACTGACAAGTATATTTTGTTTAGAACCATGAATAGTTTCCTATTCGACACTTTTTTAGCGAATTGCAAGACAAATTCGGGGCCCAAGACGTTATCCCAAAATAGTATTAACCCGAATGGAGTTAAATTTTCCTTTTCAGGCGTTGCCGAAGCTGATAAAAATGTAAAAGTTGCGTGACGCCGCCACAATGGGCGCATTTTCCTTCTGTTTTCCACGCCTGTGGGTGGGCGTGGTGCGCCGAGCCGGCCATCCGTTCATCCAAGAAGCTTGTTATAATTTTCATGCGCTATTTAACATAATAAAGCAATAAGCCGACGCACCACGCCGACGGGGAGCGTAGGAAAGTGGAGGCAAACATTTCATTTATGCCATTCGCGGCGTCTATTTTGCTCCGGGTGCGTGTTGGTTTTGTGTCAACTTAATGCAAAATAGTGGGAGGGAAAAAACTAGCAAATATAATAAACAAGTGTGCAGGCATAAGTAAATATTTAAATAAGAGAATACGAGGCGAGCTGCTCCACTCCCGAGTTGTGGCTGCTTCATGGAGCACTGATGCTAAGTGGATTACCAGAGCTGGTACAAACTAATGGTTTGTAAAACTGATATGCGTCCTGCGCGGAAAATGAGCAAGTAGCGAAGGATAACGCACAGCTATCTAGGACCCACGATTAAATATCAGTTGACTACCGTACTTCTTAGCATTTGAAAAAGCTGATTCACTAGGGCATGTTAAAAGTGTCCTTGGAAAAACAACTCCGATTTAAGCAAATCACTCCAAAACAATAAAAAATAAAACTATCTTTTAAGAAACAAGTTTAGAGCAACTAGCTAATTACTGCCAAATATCCGTGAGTGTTTTGAAAGTTGAAATACCGTTCACCTATGACGTTAAAGATTCAAATTTTCCACGTTTTTCTCCGCAAATTTTTGAGAAATAAATAAGGTACCAAAGAAAGAAAGCTTCTTTATGTAAGAGCACAATTTTTCTGACCAGTAACTTAAGCGGATTTCAGAGAGATCCTGAGTATCTGAGATTTACTTAAGTACTTAAGTACTAGAATAAATGGACACGTCTATGTCTGCCAGGCTATTCCCTCGATAATTTCACAGCACACAAGCTTATCCAAAGTTATACTTTTAAGCATGCGAATCTCCCTGGACAGATTCAAGCCAAGTAGTTCTGTGTTGAAGTGATTGCGAAAGCTCCTTGAGGCCAGGCACATTCAATGAGCATCAACAACAATCGCCAGATTCGGGTATGATTCCCCCACAGATCCTTGGGACATGGACGCAGCACGTAGAAAGGCTTCGTTTTAATGCGAGTACGGGCACCTGGACATGAAGAGGACTCGCACGCAGACGAAACCAAAATGGGCAAATAAGGTGTCCTTGTCCCAAAAGTTGTTTGCTTAGGTATCGCAGTTTGCACAGGGAAAAAAGTGCAGCAACAATAGAGATTGTAAATATAAATTCAATAGTTAGAGAAATCTTAAACAGTTTCCATATTTAATAAAGGGTTTGCCACATTCATCTTTTCCCTGTTCTCTGGATATTCCAGTTAGGTTTATCCCCTACCTACATATGTAAGTACTGGGTTTCACTTTTTGATCCTCCCACCCATCCTGAATGTATGCCAAAGCTTCTCCAACAGTCTGCCCCCGGGAGGGAAGGTCACCCAAACACCCCCGCACCCGGCCAGCGCTGATGACTGGCTAATTGCGGACTTGCTAAAATTAATTTTCCTGCTTCTAATAATATTACTCAAGGGGCGAGCAAAGGGGTTCCGACTTGTTGTCGCACGTGTTCAACGCGGCGTATGCTTAATCTGTTTGGGTTACACCTGCTGGCGGGGGCGCCCCACAATTTGGCTTTGGGCCTCCAGTTGTATCTTTCCCTGGCGTTCGTCAGCGGTTATCTGGGTGCTATTTATAGGGCCAAGGCACCGATGAGCGGCTGCCGATGGGTCACTAATCGCAATAATTATCCTTTATGGAGCACAAACTTATTAATTAAATTCGGTTCGCTATTTTGCCAGCATCTCACTTGGCACATAATTGACTTACTCAGTCGTAATAATGGCAAATTGCTTTAATTGTTTTCGCCAAGGGCTGGCAAAGTGTGCGATCTGTGTACTGCAATCCGTGTTTGATTGGATTAACGAGAAATGTTTTTGTGGGTGAGGACTTAAATCAAATCAAACTCAATATCCTCAATGGCATGGTCGTCTATGAAATTTAATATTTTGAAATTTAATCGTTTCAGCACATTTTTTTTTCTAAGTGTTTTACCAATGTGATTTCAAGTGAGTCGTATTAACTGATTTGCCAGAAAGAAGTGGATTGGTGTAGTGGTAAATTGAAAAAAGTAAATTGGAACATTGTCTATACGAAGTCGAATCATAAGTATGACATGTTTATAGATTTATATAAGTTCTATATAAATATAAATATAAATTCTATATAAATTCTTAATTGAATATTTATGTACCTATAAAGTCAAATTGCTGTTCCTCAGTGTCTAAATTTAATTTGTCTTAATTTAAGGTAATACTGCTGGCAACCGATCAATTGTTATTATAAATCAGAGCTTCGAATTGTTTAGCCCCTCCTACTAAAATTGTCTCTTTAAAACTTTTAGCCCATTAGTTTCCAAACCAAAGTAAGTTGCAGCGACTTAGAACAGAGGTGTTTGTTTACCCATACATTATGCGTAATATTTACCTTCGTGTGGCTCTCCGTTGACCTTATATCGTTGATGGTCCACGGCAGCATGGAGGCGGAGTAGCGCGGATCAACGGATGCACTGCCGCGGAAAGTCAGCGAGACGAGGCGCGTTTTCATCTTCGCTGTTTCAATGTTGACTTTGATTTTAATTTGAGTGGGGCTTATTCGTGTGTACTTTCGCCGAACGATAAACTGTTAAAATGGCAGGCCAAATTGAGTTGTGGGCCATTTATTTACTTTGCATTTTATTGGCCGCTTGCAAATTGCTCTTTAATCGTTTTTGTATATGTTTTCCGGCAGCGTGCTGTAGTCCAGGATCGAATCAATATTTAATACGCGACCGCGTTTCCACATTCCCAGGCGGAAGGGAGTCGCTGGTGGAATTCAGAGTTCGTGCGCTGGATGAGTCACCCCAAAGGGGCGGCAAAGCGGGCGGATAGTGCGGAAAAGGGGAAAACGGGAAAATGGGAAAATGCGAAAATGGACAACCGGGGTGCTGAAGCGGACAATGACCACCTGACTGCGCTTCCTGCGGGAAGGTCTCGAGGAGCGGAGCATCCGAGAAATTACTATCAATATTGATTTTTATTCACAGCCCTTGCCGTCTTTGTTTTTCACATATTCATCGCTCACACATTCGCAAATGGACAGTGTGCCCTCGCTAGTAAACATGCGTGCATTAGTAGTCTTTCGCAGAAACAGTTCTTTGTTTTCTCAAAGGAATTTTGAAATTCCAGTTAAAGTAGTTCCACGTTTAACTATTCAAAATAACAAATAGCTAACAAATCAGATTACTTTGTGAGTCGATTAGAAGCTTAGTTAAACATTAGAGTCACAGTACCACAAAGGCAGCAATGTAAGGATTCTAAAAATAAGTAGTTCCTAGTAGTGAAAGCCCTGGCTGAAGCATGTTCCCTTTATCGAGCGCACACTGTGTTTTTTTCTTTGCCTTAGAAAGGACGGGAAGACGAGGACGAGCCACCACCAGACAGATTGCGAAAAAGAGACGGCAGTCACCCCAATGTCGGAATTTACTTTTGCACTAACTTGGCACTTTCAACTTTCTAAGGTTTCCACTACCTTTTCGCCGCCCCTCGCCACACACACACACCCGACGTAATGCAACACACACACACACACACACACACACGGATGGTGGCGAGCGATTTGCAACAATAAATACTGATTTTGGAGATTGGTGCGCCCGAAAACACGTTGAAATGCCACCAAATTCCGCTGAGCACTGAGCTCTAAAAGTCGAGTTCCGCTGCGTCTCCAATTCGCGATGGCTATCATTTCTCTACGTCTCGTCCTTCGTCCTGGCGCCCGATAAACCGCGATTGCCGCGCATGCGCGTGCTGCCAGCCAAGTGGGTTGTAAGCGGAGGCTATGACATTATAGCCCAAATCGGCCCTTACAAGACTGATGGGTAAATCTTGCGGCAACACATCTCAGTTTGCGCTTTTTGGAGGCAGCCGTCGAAAGTCAAACAAATGCGCGTCTTGTCGTTTCGATTCGCCGAACAGCTGATTGCACGGTGCTTCTTCTTCTGCGATTGCTAGTCACTGCGAAGCAGTGCTGCAAAGCGAGAGAAGAAATGGTAGAAGCCGCAACAAATTCAAAATGTAAACTATGGGCACATGAGATTTGCACCCAAACATATTAAATAGATCAAGAGCGTGTCCATGACTATGTGCGGTTGATGTTTACTGCAATAACTGAACGGTAAATATACATTTGAAAATAATTTAATATTTAAAATTTTATGATTTTTGTTTTTTTTTTATTTGACTAGTCTTCAATTCCAATAAGAAGATGTATCATTTTCAGCTTGTAAATTATTTTTTATGTTTTTACAGAAAACAAAATAGTCGAGTGCAAAGTGCAAAGAGAAATTTCACAATTTTCTGGAATATCGGTAGAAATGGGGTAAAAACATACGAAAATAAAAAAATAACTTAAAATTGTGGGCGGAAGAGTTTTGTGCGGTTTGTGGGCGTTAGATTGCGCGTGGCAAAAAGTTTCTTTGCAAACTACATTATAAAAAAATGAAAAAATATCACATTTCACAAAAGTAAGGGCGTGAGAGTTTTGAGCGGCTTGTGGGCGTTAGAGTGGGCATGGCAACAGTTGGAAACAAACTTGCGCTGCGTCTAAGTCTCTGGGAGCTGCGTGCTTAATCTCAACATTCTAGCTTTTCTAATTCCTGAGATCGAGGCGTTCATACGGACAGACGGACATGGCCAGATCGACTCGGCGTTTGATCAAGAATATATGTATATACTTTATATGGTCGGAAACGTTTCCTTCTGCCTGTTATATACTTCTCAGCGAATCTGGTATACCCTTTTACTCTACGAGTAATGGGTATAAAATAGATACAAATTGTGCTAATGTCAAGTTGACATGCAGATAAAATAAAAGTAAGCCCGTTTACGTTTACACCTGTGATTTGAAACTCCAAGCAAGCATGGTGTGACCATCGACTCCGCGGCAAACTGCCTTGTGCTCGCCACGGTCACTCTGCTCGCAAGCCAGGCTTGGCATTCAAATTTCGATCGCGACGAGCAACAGGTGCGATTTCTTGCCATTCCGGTTCCCAGTGCAGCGCATTTCTCCCACTTGGCGCCCTAAAAAGTCGGCCGGGGGCAAAAACCATACGCCATAGTGTATATCGTGTGTGCGACCAGACTTTCACTGCGGGTCAATTCAGAGGCCGGGATACCAGGCGACGTTCGTCTTTAATTAAAGCGCTTCGCACGCGTTGTCGTCGTTGTTTTAGCTCCAATTTAGCTGTTTTAGCTGCTTAGTAGTTTTGGCCAAGTAGAAGAGGGGCTCTGCTGCGAACGTGTTTACGATTTTCAGTGCGATCCCAAGCTGCGATTCGAATGCGGGCTTCGCGTTTTCGCACTCGCAACTTCTTTTCGTTCATTTCTCACCCAGAAAACACAATCGCAGTCGATTGTAGAGTTGATTTTAGTGAGAAGAGGTAGTAAAAGAGTCATGATGGTAAAATATGGCAAGACATAAAAAAAGCACAAAAACAGGAGAAGCAGAGGGCGACACTGAGCAAAGTACCGTTAGTGCGCGAGTGAATGTTTAATCATGATTTAAATAATGAGGAATTCGCGCTCTTAATTGATTTAAGTAGCGCTCGGCATTTGCATAATTTTCCCCATATGAACACACACACACATGCAAGCCTGGAAAATCCGTTTTTCCTCTGTAGCAGCAGCAGCACAACAAGTGCACATGTGTAGGTGTGTTCAGCAGTGCACGGCATGCATGCATGTGGCCGAGTGCAGGTGTATTGGTGCTGTTGTGAACGTAAATGGACAAGTTAGAATCCACATTCCACAACAATGGCCAAGAAAACGGCCGCCAATCTATCAGTTCCTTGGGCAAATTCAAAGATAATTGCAGTGCAACTGTGGAATGGATGTGCGGTGCTCCATTCTCAATTTACCCAGAGTAGCCTGTTGTTTACAGGTTCACGTCAATCTGAGTTGATTGTATCCATACATCTCGCATGCGTGGGCTTATAGAAGCATTAATATTAATATTAATATTGTGTTTAAAACAATCTGAGGAGCCGCAGATCTATACATTCGAAACTCTTTTCTTCAACAAATCTTTATGTGTACACATGGCTATTGAACTAAATCTATAACCGGTGGCCTTAATTATCATGACAATGAACTACAAAAAGGCAACGAAAATAGCATGAACCTTTTAGAAGAAGCTGTAGGAAAAGAGTCGCGGCATAATTAGAACGAGCGAAAGGTGGCACAGTGGGTTAAAGGTGGATTTTGGGTTAAGAAAGATGCAAAGAAACAGAATAGATGTAAAAAATGGAAAACACAAATCCTGTGTTACCTGTATGATTAGTGCGGAATGCCGACTGCGTTTAGAAAGCCTGCTGAGAAATAATTAATTGCCTTCGAAGGCAGATCACACTATTAAGACCAGGGAAATCTTGAGAATGCCTCCCAAATTCATTCATATAAAGCACATTTTCCACAAGAACGGTTTGTTATTTATTAAAGCATGGATAGGAAATGCTGTAGGCGTCTTCGTTGATTCCGGGGATCCGACCCATATTAATAGGGTTTTCGTTATTGATTTTTGGAACACCAAGCTTTTGATCTTTCCAAGGTTGAGAACCTATTTGCCTACGAAACGGATGACTCTCCTCCACAACACAATGTAAACAAGTGGGCTTAGCCTCTCCCCATCCGTTTGGTTAGATATACGTATATATCTACACTCCAGATATATTCAGAACCCACGTAGACGCACCGTCCGCCCACGGAGCCGCTGAAAGCAACTGTAAACGGGGGAAAGGCCAGAAGAAAGAGCACAATTTTCAAAGAATTCATAAGCACGCGCTAATGCGAATACTAATGCCATGCATGGTCCATCTCTGCTCTGTCCCCCATCCAGTGACCAGTATCTACTGGCCCCTGACGTCCCACCTAACAACCTGACCACTCCCTACCTCCATCTTCTCCAGCCTGACCACCGCCTGTTACCCGTGGGTAAGGTGTGTGGAAGCACCTGTTGTTGAACAACGTAACCGTGCGTGCCCGTGCGTTCGGGTTGCGTCTTATTAGAAGCCGCATTCGGTGGCTCCGTGGCCAGTGGGGAAAAAAAGAGAGAAACAAGGGAAACGAAAAACAGACTTGGCCAAAAGAAGCGAGAAATACAGCGCTGAAAACCGGTTAACGTGGAAATGAAAGAAAATCTTTTGCGTTCACAGTCAAACTTCAGGAAGGGAAAATAATTTTAGTCAAAATATTGGTCACTCACGTCACCTCACGTCATCTCTGGTCATCTCTTGAATTTTAAGCAAACAAATCTCCAAAAGTAAAGGTGTATAAAAATGTATGGATAGTATTTCCAATATATGCCTAAAACCTGGGAGCCCCAAACTCTTTTGTTCTTCATTATACGACAGCTGGCTGAAGCCACCTTTCTTCAGTTCAAGCTAACGAAGTTTGACTGTATAACCTGCCTTATGTTAAGTCTGATGTCGCTGAATAGTTGGTTTTTCTCTTTTTCCACAGATCAAATTTGGTGAAATCAATGCGTAGAAAGTGAATCCAGGCTTAGGTAAAGTTGGGGAAAAGTGAAAAGCTTCGGAAAACTTGGCTTAACAAACAAACACATTTGGACACACTTGCATTTGGCGGATTGAGATTTCGTGCTCCGATCTGCCCGGCCCAGAGCTGCACTTGGAGCTGGATCTGGAGCCAGAGCCAGAGCCACAGCCACAGTCCAACACCTGGGCGAGCGGCGGCCCACCTGCCGGCTTAGATGCGTCTAATCCAAACGGCAACCGGCGGTGCTGCTGCGTCCGTTCTGCAGACCCACTCCCAGTCGCAGTACAACTACACCAGCATGCGTGAAGATGATATCGAGCTGGCCATTAAAGTGGTAAGTTCCCCAGCCGGCTGCGTGAATCTCTTCCATTTGGATTATGAATGGCTGAAATGAGTGCACAGCAAGAAAAAAGGTTACTATTAAAGTAAAACCAAAAACGAAACCCAGGTTTACTATTGATTTGATATCATATCAAGAAAAGTTCTGCATATCCCAAAATACAATGCTTTCTTCCAAATTATAAATATAACAATCAACTAACATATATTAGAACATTAGCTCATCTAAAAGATTTGTTTTATTTTATATAAAAAGTTGTTTCAACATGGCAGATAAATCAAATTATCCATTCGTATCGTATAGTTTTTCTTTCAGTGCTATTTCCCCTCTTCAAATGTTGTGAATGGCACCTGTGAGATAAAATCCGATGGAAGTGCCCGATGCTAATGGCGAAACTGCACGAATTAAGATTCTAGTTCAATTAGGGTTATCCTCTCACTGAGTGGAGTTGCTTCTAATGGGTTTTCTGGAATTGTTTCAAATTGATTTATAAGGTGATTTCTGGATGTCTTTCAGCAGACAAGCCAAATTAGTTTGAAATTTACCTGCTTAATTAACTAAAATGGGTAACGGTTTAAATGCCAAGTAGAAAGTAAATAAGCATTGTGAACAGTTAATTTTATTTCCTTCTTCGTATTTATTGTGGAAATACATTGTTGATTTAAGATTTTTGTTATATATGCATTAGAAAAGTTCTACACATTTTTAAAAATATAAACTAAAAACATGACATAAATTAATGAACATAACTTTGGTCTTTTTAATAGGTCATTGTTGGAAACGGTGGCGTTGGCAAATCTTCAATGATACAGCGCTATTGCAAAGGCATTTTCACGAAGGACTACAAGAAGACGATTGGAGTGGATTTCCTAGAGCGCCAGATCGAGATCGACGGCGAGGATGTGCGCATCATGTTGTGGGACACTGCCGGCCAGGAAGAGTTCGACTGCATCACAAAGGCGTACTACCGCGGCGCCCAGGCTTCCGTCCTGGTCTTCTCGACGACGGATCGGGCATCCTTTGATGCTATCAAAGACTGGAAGCGCAAGGTGGAAAACGAGTGCAACGAGATTCCCACGGTGATCGTGCAGAACAAGATCGATCTTATCGAACAGGCGGTAGTCACGGCCGACGAGGTGGAGACGCTGGCCAAGCTGCTCAACTGCCGGCTCATTCGCACCTCCGTCAAGGAGGATATTAACGTGGCTTCCGTGTTCCGCTACCTGGCCACAAAATGCCATCAGCTAATGACCCAGAGCTACGACCAGGCGGCAGGAAACCAGCAGAACTCCAGCCATCCGCCCTACAGCAGCACGCCCACGATCAGCGCCTTCAGTCCGACCTTCACAAAGTCCAGCAGCGGTACCATCGTCCTCCGTCCGGCGAAGAAGGGCCATGGCTCCAGCGTGGCCCGAAAGCGAAAGATAGTGCTCAAGAAGTGCGGAATATTGTGAGGAGTTGTCGGATTAGCTGGATGGATGGCAGGGGCGACTGGGCGGGCAATTAATATCTGGAGCATATTTAACGCCTAATTATTTTGGAGCCTAATGATGTTGTGGCCGGGTGGCCAGCCAACCGTTGGATGCAACCACAGCCATTCACTAGTCGTGCACAGACTCCGCGTGATGTGGTTCAGACATGCTTACAGAGCAGCAGAAATAATCGGAGGCAGCAAAGTGGATCTTCTGGATCTCCACGAAGATGAGATACCCTTCAGCGGGTGCTGAGAAACTGAATATTTGATGTACACTACACAACGGAAAGTTTTTTACTACGAATTACACTCATCTTAGCACAAAAATGATAAGGACCCAAATCATTTAAAACACCATAGAATTGGCTTTTTACCCCTGCGGTTTTATAACTTCAACTTAATGCTCCTCTTTATAATTATGCTGTATACAAATTATATAGACCCAATACTCACTTGGCTATACAAGCCGTTAAACCAAAACAGTAGCACCCGATCGACAAGGGTAGATGAGTTCTCAAAACCATAGACAATATGCATGAGCACTGGCAGTTTCTCAAAAAATTGCTCCAATTAGTTTTAGATATGAAATCAAATTTGTATGTATGTATTATGCCCACTTTTCTATAACGGAGACTGAACAGCTTTGCCTTTATATTGGATATGTATGTATATAGGGGTTAGCTTGGGTATTAGCTTCCCTAACCAAGCACAATTAAAAGTCTATATATCACGCTATATATACCAAGCCCAGATATCCATGTGAAATCCCTTTGCCAATTCGCGTTGGCCAAATGTGCAATTAATTATTCAGCTTTTATAATTATTAACTAATTGCAAGTCATGTCAAAGCGCAATTTGACGCGACTCATGTAGACCAGTGTTCGCATTCTATGCAAACAAGGAATTTGTGAAGCATGTAACATGTAAGCCGAATAGGAGAATATGAGTAAATAACCCTAAGCCTATTAATATTGTATTTATACATGTAATAACCCATAAATATGTTTACGTAATAAATTATTTTGTGTAAATTAACTGGAATTTTATATAATTTGGGGGATTCACTTTTGGTAAATCAGGGGGAAGTACTTTAAGGAAGTTCACTTAAAATAGCAAACAGCTAAATAGAATAGAATAAGTTGAGAAATTATCTTGGGGGTGTAACATTTACTTCCATCATAAATTAAAACAGCCGTGGTAGTTTTGAAATGTTTACCATTTTTTATTTGATTTTTGATTTTACACTTTTTTTGTAAGCTTGACAAATTTGCGATTCGCATCTGTTACACCATTGTTTACACGTTTCCTCATTTAAATCGTTTAAACTATTTTAAATCTAATTTTTGTTTCTTTATATTTACACTTCGCGTTAAAAAATTATCGCTTTATAACGCATAAATCATTAAAGGTGTATATATCTATTTTGTTGTAATTTTCAAGTGTTTCCTTGTATTAATAAAGGCATAAATAACTATTCGTCGATTTCTGTTCTTATTTATTTACACAAAGTCGAAAAATCAAAATATCTTAGATATAGACAAGAAGATAGAGTAGAATGTTTGATTTTTGGAGGGACAGGGGAAGATAGTGGTGAGCATAAGCTGAGCATAAAACTGTGTTTTTGCAGGCTGAGCCCAAAAGATTGTGTTTCTTTGAGTGTTGTGTGAGGGTGGGTGTGTGTGTGCAAACTCTTTCTGTTATAGTCTTTTTAAAATGCCTATAAAAAATATGATTTTGTGTTCCTTGGAAATAATTTTCTTGGCACTAAATGAAGCAAATTATATCTTTAAACCGAAAACTACCGATGTAAATATTTTGATTATAAGGTAAATTTGTTAAAGTACATTATTTTTATATTAAATAAAAAATTTTGAAAATCCTAGCTGTGTCTGTGTCTCGGTGTAGTTGTGTTTGAAGTGGTAAGGACCGCTTTCGAATTTGATAAGATTATTTCATTATGCAGACATTAAAACATTCGTTTTCAGTTTCTTTTTTACGCACTTGGTTAACTTTAAATCAGTTAAGTATATAACTTTCACTTTGCTCTTTTTGTTGAAGGTTGCTTTCATGTTGTTGAGGCTACTGTATTGTGTGTGTCGGCCCTAAGGCTTATTTTCGGGTATTGTTTGTTGGTTTTGATGCGGTTCCTACATAGAGTACAAGATTTAGCCTAGATACACACTCCAGTTATGTATATAAGTAGTTATATGTGCCTCCCAATTGTGGTGCACTACCCAGAAATGGCAAAATCATCGGCATCGCCATCGTCCTTGCCCTCCAGCGAACGGTACTCGTCCGAGTCCTCGCTTATGGCCGCCGTGCCAATGGACATGGGCAGCATGGAGGCTGTGCTAATTATAGGCTCCGCACTGATGCTCGCCAGGATGCTAGCACTTGTAGAGGGTGTTGCAGTTAATACTGCTGGGGCATTGGGGGGCACATAGATGGTGATGGTTTCCGGTTCCGGATTCTCTGGTTGGATTGTTTGATTTGGACTTGTTTCAGCCACAGGCGCTGCACTTTCCACCTCAGCTGGCTGTTCAAGTTCCTGTCGCTGTTGTCCTGTATGTGGTTGTTGTGTTAGGGGTTGTGTTATTATATCAGCAGAGGCCAACAGTAGATCCAATTTAAGTTTACTTGATGACGTTGGCTGCTCTGTTATCACAGACTGTGCTTGAGTTGCAGTCGTCGGTGCAGTTGACGTCGGACCGCCTCCTACCGCTGCTGCAGTTGTAATTGGTGTTGCAGATGATGCTGCTGTCGATGTGGCTGTTGCAACAGCAGCTGTTACTGCCGGCACTATCCCACCAGCAGCATGCAACTCATCCTCCTCGCTGACGCTTATGTAGCGACAACGCTCGCTGAGCAGCGAAGCCGACTCGTCATCCTCCTCATTTACGCTCGTAATGCTCACCGTACGTTGCTTGAAGCTCTGATAGACGCTAGTGCTGCTGCTGGGAGCATCAATGACATCTCTGGGCGATGCCACGACTGCGGCGGCGGATGAACTGGCTAAAAAGGGAGATCGTAAGATAGTTTCTTGCAGTTTCTTCATAGATCCCCATGACGCTGTTAGTCTTAAAATGAACAGAAACTTAAAGTGACTTAATTAAACATGTATAAGCCACTCATTCTACCAAGCTACCTCAACATTTAATAAAATATCACCGGAAAATTGAAACATTCTATTCTATTCTAAAATTCTATTGTTTTGTACGTGTTAAAATAAGTATTTCTATCCATAAACCTTAAGAACCCTTGTCTCAAACCACTTCCCAAAAATTCCCAAAAAACTTATATGGATCCCCAGCCACATTGGCATACTAGGCAACGAATACGCCGACAAAACAGCTAAAGATGCCCCCAGATACCCCCTCGTCTACACACCAAATTATAACTGTGGCGACATTTCTCGGCACATACAAAAACACGTCAGAACTGCATAACAAAATTACTCCCTGGTACAAGCTCATCCTTCAAGCTACCACACGAAACTCCTCCCACAACACCTCATCACACAACAGGAACACACAAATCCTTATGAACAGGTTCAGGCTTGGACACACCAACCTTACCACTGCCCACTACATGAACTACATATGTCCTCTTTGCAACCATCATCAGTTAGACGTTAAAAACATCCTACTTAACTCTTCCTTCATAGAACAGCTGCCTTTCAATCAACCAACCCAATAACCGCACTTGCACACCCAACGAACGATAACATCAACAAAATTATAACCTTTTTGCTAAACTCCAACCTCATTCATAAAATATAAAACCATATTCTTCTCTCACTTTGTATAAACCATTGCCACCCTAGACGAGCGGAAGGCCTTAGCTGCTAATGCTCCTAGCTCTTAGTTACCTTATAGTTTTATACTTTCAGTTAGCTTTAAATAAATAAATAAGGTACGATGACGTTAAATGAACATTTAGAATGACCATACAGAATATGCTTTTAAATTATTCAAAGTGTTCCTAACTCCGAAAGATGCACCAGCCTCAATTGTTACTTACATTCTAAGCGCTCACGCCGCGAAGCGTTCCGAGAGGGCAAAGGGGCCAGCTTGATGCGATAGAACTTGGAGCCCCTACTGACGCGATAACGATTGTCGTCCTGCAAAGAAGCCACACTGGTGAGTACTCATCCTAGACAAATGTTTTATTATGAACACACCTTTCGCGCCTGGCAGTACTCCTTGTCGATGACCCGGCCAATGGCGTAGTAGGGCAACGGAATCTGGTTGAAATCCACAACGGCCTGCGAGGGGTCCAATGCCGGAGTGGGTGAGGTTGGAGCTGTCAACTGCAGGGTAGCCAAACTGTCGGCATGGACAAAGTACAAAGTGAGCGAGTCCTGGACGACCATAAATTGCGCGTGGCGCATGCTCCAAACGACGAAGACGAGATCGCCTCGTGCACATCCTTCCAAGGCGATAGATCGGTGACTGGAAGTTACGCCAGACTTCGATCGGGTTAGGGGCCCACCAACATTCAGATCATAGGCAGAGCTATGGATGGAAAAGCTTATAGTTAATATTCATTAAGCCGAAAAGCCTAGCAAATTACATATTAAAAAACAAGACAGAAGCCAATTGGCAAGGCAAATAAAAAAAAGAATCAAATTATCAAATCAAGCGCGTCCCTATAAACTAATAAGCTTCTGTGAACTCGACGGACTCATACGGACAAACAGACAGACCAGGTCGAATAGGCTAGTGATCCAGCATGTATATTCTTTATAGGGTCTTACTTTCTCATAGCGGTCACACTGGACTCCATCTCTTGGCGCCGACTCTTCTCCTGGCTGAGCTCCTCTTCCAGCCGGCACTTGTCCTTGTTGAGATAGTCGATCTTCTCCTTGAGCCAGCTGTTGCCATCCTCGTTGGTGATCATCTCCAGTCGGGTCTTCAGCTGGTACGTTTCTTGGGTGAGAATCTTATTCTGCTCCCGCAGCTGTTCCAGCTGCCGTTCCTTGTCGGCCAACATGTCCTTTAATATGCCCACGTTGGCCATCACAGATTCTGAGTTCAGGGGCAGGAGACGTGATTGCCATAGTGATCGTTCCGAATCAACGGCTTCGCTAATGGCACGTTCCCTTTGAGCCAGCAACTCCTGGCGCTGCTGGGCCAGCAGATGGTCTATATCCACACTAGCGTTTGCGCTGACCACGCTAGCGCTGCTTGTCGGTCGCTCTATTTTCTCAAGACTGCTGTCCGATGGCGAACGCTCCATAGAGGTCATCAGTTTGAAGCGGCATCGTAGGGACTCCAGCTCCGTTTTGTGCTCGTGGATAAGTTGCTCCCGCGCCTGGGCCACAGCAGCCTGCTGCTCCTGCTCCGCCAACTGCAGTTTCAGTCGCATCTCCTCCAACTTCTCTTGGGATTTCTGCTCGCGTGCTTCACACAGCATTTTCAGCACATTGCATTTATCCCGCAGAAGATGCAACTCGGACTGGAGTTCATCCTGGTAGTTGGCAACGTCATTGCGAAAGGTGCTTACATTGGAACGAGCTTCGGAAAGGCATGATCGGGCCAACTTGGACATATTTTCCATATCGCTACGCATCCTCTGCAAGCTGCCTGCATTTTCTTCGGTCAGGGTGCCAGCACTAAGCATTAGCAGATCCTCGGTAGCAGTACTCTGTGCCACTCGCTCCACCAAGCTGGTCGAAGTTGATGTCGCAACACACTTGAAGGTGGTGCTGAGCTTCTCGAACTCTGTTTCCGTATCGGTTTCGCAATCAGAGGCAGCTGCCTGCGTCTGTAGCTCGGCCAAACGTGGAGCCATTAGTGGCATGTCCGGTTCCTGCTCTTGGTCCCGGTCCACATTCTTGACCGACCGGAGGGCGAAAAAGTCTATCACAGGCTTCATGTCGGGCAACTGCAGCTGTCCGGCTAGTTCTGGCAACTGCGAAGCGAGCAGCTCCATGTCCGATCGGCTCAAAGAAGGGAGACGTGTGTCAAAGCTCAAGGGGTGCTCATTTGCAAAAGCTGGGGGCATGTCACCCATGCAGGGGAACAGAATATTGAGAAAATGGCCTTTGAAGCTCGCATTGAACTCCCTCCTCCGGCGCAACTCCTCGCTGTGGATGCGATCGAAGTCCGCAGAAAGTCGAGTGGCCCACTGCCGGAACTCATCCGAAAAGATCTTCCGACGCACCACCTCCGCCACGGCCAAAACATAAGTGCTCGGCGCCCGGTGGATCTGCTCGATGATGGAGATATGACGTTCAGCACGCCGTAAACAACGATGATTAAACAGCAATCTGTTGTCAAACTCACTCATCCCATTCTCAATCCACACGATCCGTCGGAGACGTGTGTGCAGATTCCAGCCCAGCTCATCCTTAGAGTTGGCTATGCAGCGGCAGTACTCTCGTATCTTAGTGTGATTATCCAGCATTACCTGTAGCTGGGAGCGATGTGAGAGACAAAGATCCGGGAGGACGGAGTTGTCGCGCAGATTCTGCGCCCGCGCCTCATTCTGCTGAAGGGCTAGTGCTTGCTCCTTTTGCTCCTGCACCATCTTCTTGATCCGGAACTTAAACTCCTCCAGCTTGCAGAGACGGTCGCCGAGGCCTTTGATCTCCTTAACATCGGCCTGGTTGGCCAACTTAATGATCTGATTGACTTCCTCCTTCAGCTTCTCGTAAATTTCGGCACTGAAGATGTCCAGTCCCTGGATACACTCATCTGACATGAGCTGCAGGGTCCTGTGGTTACCCTTAGAACTGATCCACTGTAGCAGGTTCAGGTTGGGACGACGGGCAAGCGAACTGCTGCTAGTCAAGGCCTGAACATCGCTCTCCGTCGGCTGCTCAGCAGAATCCATTTCCACCTCGTCGCCCATTTTCAGCTTCTTATTGGGGGAGTCCGCTTGTGAGGATTCGGTTAGAGCCTGCTGCTGCTGCGCTGGCTGTTGTTGGGCAGTAAACACGTCGTCGTTCTCCAACAGTTCGTCAAAGCCATGAAAATCGGCCTCGGCAAGAGACATTAGATCCGGAAGTATGGGAATCCTGCCCAGCTGCTTGAGATCATCGGGAAAGTTGCGCAGCAGCTCCAAAAAGCTCTCTCGTTTCTGGAGATGCCGATCAAAGAAGGAGCAGAAATTTTGAAAGCGGTCGCAAAACTCGTTCGTCAGATCCTCCATATTGGCCACCACAGCCGACCAGCCCTGCTGCTGAAGGTGTTGCTCGTGAACCAGACGCTCGCAAAGATCCTCCTCCTTTCTGGCCAACTCTCGCATGTGTTGAGCCAGCTGTGCGCGCTGACGCACTGTCTCCAGGGCCGGAGGTAACCGGTGACTTTCCTCTACTTGACGACGGAGCTCGTTGTCGGCGTCCGAGTTGAATATCGTAGGTGGTAGGCGCTCGTCCCCCGTGAGAAACATATAAATAGGATTGGTATCGGTGCCAGCTGAGTAGCACGACACTTGGGTGGAGTGCGTTAGCATTTCGCCTCCGCTCACTAGCAGAACAATGTTGGCGGCTGGGATATTGTGCAGCTTTTGGATCGTCTCCTTTAGATGCTCCACTGGCTGCAGTGCAACGTTCATGTCAAAGCTGAGCATGCGGCCGACGTCCACGTGGAACACGTACAGCATCATGAAGCCGTTGGTGTTTTTCTGTCTCCTCGACTTTGCTACCGCTTTCTGGAGGGGACACTCCCGCTCCCACGCCCGCTTCTCCTCCCTCTAATCCTGATCCTGTCGTCTCTCTAATGGTTTGGCAGTGCTTCAGACGATATAGTGGTATTTCCTCATCTGGTTTCCTTATACTCGTATTGTTAGTGTTTAGCTGCAAGACAAAAAAGGCAATGGGGGTGAGTAAAGATAGTCTTATCTGTGATACGCATTTAACTTATTAAGTTATTAAGTTCAAAGCAACAAACAATGCAATTCCCTTTCAAGCCCTACACAATGACGTGATTACGATTTCAGAAATTTTGTCAAAAATGGTTCGTTTTCGTCGTTTGAACCTTAAAAACCATCCACACTCAACCGCTTCCAACGATTGGATCCACTAGTAATGCACCGCATAGGCAGGGTTTAGCCTAGCTATTTTTAAGCCATTGATTGGATCACTTTTGCTGCCCAACAGCTGTTAGACAGACTGTCGCAGTTACTTTTTGCTCTCTTTGTGTCGTCAGAGGGACAAACAGGGAGGAGTAGGCGCGCGGTGGGGGTGGTTCAAATGTTAATGACTAACCGGGCCATTTCCGAGTCGCAATAAAAAATAGCAGGCCTAGCATGTGCACAGACGCTTATTCCATTTTATTTTTATAATTTTGTTTACAGTTTAGCCCCGCAGACGGCTTTTGGCGATAAGGCGCATAACAGGGAAAGCGGAAAGAGCATGGCTCCGCACTTAACACACGCGCACTAACTTTTCCCCACACTATTTATTTATTTGCGTGCCGTAAACACCAGCTCCCAGAACAACAACAGAGCGAAACGTGTTATCAACGCACCTTGATTTCAACACGTCTAGACTTGCGGGTGGTTCGAAAACAAATGATCACAGCAGAGAGCGCAGCGAAGAGCAGAGCGCACGAGGAAAGGCGGAGACACTTTGAGCGGGCGAGAGAGCGCCGCACGTGTGTGACGATGATTCAGCTATTTTGTAGCCAGATTTCACAGCTATTTGTTGTTATATGTTATTTTATTACCAAGTAAATTTAGTTGGATCAAGCAAAATCAGAACCCATTTTAAAAATACAATTCTGTAAAGCACGAGTTTAGCTCCTCATCAGAATAACAAATAAACCAAGTACTACATATATATAATTAATTTGTTGCTTTAATGAATCTTCTTGTAGCTTGTTTTAGTTTCATTTTCATCACATTCAAATTAGTCATATTTCGAACGCGAGTGTGGCATCACTGTTTCTTAGCGCGGGAGAGATGACAAGGCAGATAATGACTGAGCGATGATGCGCGCATGTGTCAATGAGATCGCGACGTGGACTACGACGTCGACGTACCAGAGTTTACCTGACTCTGCGGTCCTTTTTTTTACCTAAACGAATTTCTCGATTTCGATTAAACAAAGCTTCTAAATTTCCAAGACACGGGATATAACGGATGGTTTTCTCAAAATTTTCCACAGTTTGTGAACACGTGTAACGGAACGACGATTTTATAGCTGACGAAATACCAGGAACGATTAGCTCAGGATCATCTATAATGCCTAGGTAAAAGTGCGAGGTACACTTAAGCAAATTTATGAAATAGCCGTTGGAATTGATAGACAGAAAGCATTAATCAACCGATAGATTACAAATGGCATGCCCCAATGCAATAATCGCGGACCCTTCAACCCAAATAGATCACGATAGCGAGCGAGCCCCGAACTGATAAGACCTTGCCGGAGGGGTAGTGAGCTGTATCTGTGTTACACTAGGGGGTATGTATCAAAATATTTGTGATAAGCGAGGAAACTCCAAAAATATGATTGCCTGGATAGATCGGGAGCAGATGTTGCATTATGTAGTCTTGATTTTCCACTTTTGGGGTTTTATTGTCCCAAATTTCATATACTTCGCTTATTTAATATATAATTTAAATTTATAATTTTTTAATATATAATACATATTAATTGGGATTAATTTCATGGTTGTTTCTAGCAGATAAACTGTTCTATGTGAACAAACATACATAACTATGTACATACATCATATGTACAAATGTGATTTCGATTGTGTTACTTTAACTTATTTATGGTACAGATATGTGTGTATATTAAGTATTTTTCAAATTTATTATCTATTACTGTATATTAAGTATTTCAAATAGTCACAGCACACACTCATATTTCGAATACTATAGATAATCTAAGATTTAAAAGACAACATCTGTTGGATGTTAAATCGAATTTTAATATTTAAATAAAATGTAAGAGAATTTAGATATCTACACTTTTTTGCTACAAAAAAAAAAAAAAAAACAAATGCTATAAATAATAAACTTGATGATGACGTACTGAGCTGCTAATTAAACTTATATGGGGTTGATGTACTCCACAAACAAAGAATTCAAACTAGCAGATCTTTGTTTAGGTGGTGAGTCTAGGTGCCAAATAGCGGACTTGCAGGAGAAGAGGATGGTAGCCAGAAACCCTGAACCAAGCTGATGCTGAACTTCTCTGCCGCTGCAAACTGATTACAGTGCAGTCAGAGTTTATCAGCTTCGCCGCTTCTTTTGTTTTGTCGTTGTGGGGGGGCAGAAAAAACTCTTTCTCGCAGGGAAAACAATTAAGAGAGCGGCTGACTTACGTGTGGTTATGTGTGTCTAACTGCAATCTATGGTATGTGTCCCCAGCACTTAACTATTATGTATACATCATTTAAATGGGATTCAAAAGCATATGACTCCCGCAAAAACTCCAACTGCAGTAAACCGCGATACAGAAAAGCCGAGTAAAACAAAAGAAAGCAGACCATTAAAACGTAATTGAAAAATCTGTTGTAGAGTAAACACATGATCAGCTGATCGACTGCATCTTATCGATATTCGATAATTCGAGCCGAGCTGCAACTCATTCTATATTTCCTCTTTCCCCGCTCCTTCCCTTCGATGATTCTTGCTTGCTCACTCAGCTGTTGTTTTGCTTTATGGCCTCTCCTTTTGCACTCATTCGGGTGCAGTGCAGTTAACAGGAAAAAGCTCTCGAATGACGAACAAATGCACACAGACACCGAGTTATTCTTGTAAAATATGTAAATTATGGCAATTAATTGCAATTTGGCTCAAATGGACGCACACAACAACAAAGCGTGAGGGTTGCTGACGTTCTTCAAAAACAATAAAGAAAATGGCAGCAGGTGCATGTAGTTGAAACAGGGAAAAGGGCAATGGGGTGCAAAAAGACGGGCGCAATTTCTGCAGTTAAAAGGGCGTCGTCGGATGCACTGGCTTTGGTGTGCATAAAACTATAACTAACGGTTAATTAAACTCGTACCCTACTTACACTCACCTTATATTCTTTAATCAATTTCCGCAATGGTGTGCCAGTGTGAGTGTGTTGCGTGTGTGTGAGTGTACGTGTGTGAAGTGTTATTGTTGTCTGGTTGTGTGCGCGGGGTGTTCGTGTGTTTTGCTTTTAATCAATTGTAAACGGGAACGAAACACACAGGCTCTGCAAATTATTGTACATCAGCTGTGGCTGTATCTGTATCCAAATGTATTTGTGTGATTGTTTTTATTTGCAACAACAACAACAAAAGTTGTATTTCTTCCTCTTTATTTTCGCTCGTTTGCTGCTCCCTCTCTTTCAACAACACTGTGATGTTTTATTCTCTTCCTCGTCTTTTACGCTCTTCTTATTTATTTTGTATGGCTCTGCTCTGCTTTTTTCGCCTGCGTATTACCTATTACTTTAAAAACTATTTTCGTTGCTTATCAAATGTGCAAAAATATTTAACTCGACTTTTCTTAGTCCCAATGCCTATCAATATGTTCGACCAAAGAAATATTTTTCATATAATTTATGCTGTTTTCGTTTTTCCCCTTTTTTCTGTTCTCTTTCGCTGTTCGCCTTCCCTTTCTTAATCTATTTCTTTGTCTATCACAATTGCGTTTTTGTTGTTACTGCTGCTGCTATGAGTGTTGTTGTTGTTGTTGTTGTTAGTGCTTTCTTATGCTTTCTGTTTGCTGCTGCTTGTTGTTGTTGGCAGTTTTACTTTTCGCGTCAGTTTTTTGCCATTTACACGATAGGGGCACGGGAGCCTTCTAGGTTTTTGACGTCACACAATTTCACTCGCGCATTTTGTTGCTTTGCTTAGATTTCTAATTAAATTAAATGGTATAAAAATTAAATAACGCACTTCGTTCTCACTTTTTTTGTCTTTGCTTATGCCTTGCGATGTGAGAATGACAACAGATTTTCAAGTTGATATCGATAAAAGTGCTGGTGGGGATACGATATACAATGGTTGCCAAATTGTTTTTAAATGACCGGTCCTCTGGGACACATTTACTCAGAGTAAAATTACCATTAATGCAGGACCTTTTAAAGTTTGAAATGTCTTTTATAAACACGGTTTAAATTTCTCAGCTTAAGCTTTTGATTTTATTCTTGGCCATTGCGAATACCCCCAAATGTCAAAAGATCGCTATTTTTTTCCATCCCTGTTGGATTCGTCAATCAAACCTATCGAAAGTCGGCCGCCTCTAGTGAAAAGTGCAAATAAAATAACCAGAAAGAAATTTTCTTTTTAGCAATTAGTGCACCATCCGCACACAAAGAGTCACAGCATTTATTATACTTAAGTAGCATTAGCAGAGATCGAAAGTTAAGGTGGTCCAAGTCCCCACAACAAACCGATACGGACGCCCATCAGAACGACAATTCCCCATTAGGCCCATTCATCAAGACATACTCACACTCATGAAACACTCATCTACGCAAGGGACACGGGCGGCATTTTCCTTTGCATTAACTTGGGCGTTTCTTGGGATGTCTCCTTAGGTTATAGCTCTAGGTTTAGGTTGCTTACTCGACACACAAATATTACTTTCTGTATTTTGCCTCATTACATTGCATTGTTTCGAATCGAAAAACAATGACCCACATCCAGACTATAGAAAATGTGGCAGACTGCACTCCTCTTTACCTGCCGCACAGCTTGTACCTCAAGCCTCTGGCCAAAATGCAAATCTCCGTGTCGCTGCCGGCAATCAAGTCCGGAAAATCGGTATCTAATTTGGAAATAATGGACAAACTGGGCGCCGAGCTTAAGCCGGACAAGTTTCTCCTTCTTAAAGTAAGTACTCAACTTAGACTTTATGGTAATTTTTGTATACCAAACGTTTTTTTTACACACAAAAAGAATATTTGTTAAAAGTAAAGAAAAAAATTTACAAATTAAAAAATTTTGTAAATAATCGCAAAAGATACGCATATTATATGGATATTATAAATCCATAATATTATAATATTATAATATTATAAATATCTTAATCAAATACTCATAATCCGTATGCCCGACCAGGTCTCAAAAAGCACTGTAAACACCATCCGACTGGAAGCTGAGCTGGACGAGCGGAAACGTCTTAGGGCGGCCATCCAACGTTTAGACGGCCTTTCGTTACGCATCTCCGGCTTTAGTGAGTCGTTCCGAGTGCGTTGTGCAGAGTTTAAGGATGACTTTCCAACGCGACACGACTGGGACTCTTACTTCCGGGATGCAAGAAACATGGATGAAATGAAGGCTGGCGAACGGCCGGACACCATTCACATCAGCCATCTGCCCATGCGTTGGTTCTGTCCGCGGCATTCGGAGCATGAAGAGCATGTCAAGCCCAGCGAAAGCATCTTTAAACGAATCTTTGAAAAATTTGGACGCGTCCGGATGGTGGACATACCTATCTGTGATCCGTACCGGAAGAGCATGCAGGCGGACATTAACGGCATGCGGACGTTTAGCTTCGAGCAGGATGTTCTATTCGAAGCGTAAGTTTTGAATAACTTAAAAACATTTAGTTCGTGTAGTCAACGGTTTTCTTAACAGATATATTCAGTTTGAGGAGTACTCCAGCTTCGTCCGAGCCATGGACGAGTTCAGGGGCACTAAGTTGGTCCGGAAATTTGTGGACAAGACTCAAGCCATCAACATTTGTGTGAGTTTCGACAAACAAAAGCATCTGAGCGACTCACACATACAGCGCAGAGAACGGATGCGGAAAAAGTGCATCGCGAAAGCCCAGGCCGAGGACGAGGAGCGGGAAAAACTAAAAAAGCAGCAGGAAGAACAATTGGAACGCGAAAGGTTTGATAATTATTTAGGCCGGAAAACGAAAGCAGTAACCATAAAGCAATGTCTCTGCCAGATTAGTATTTTTACATGATTTGATTCCTGAAATCTTAATTTAACTCAGTACATACATATGTACCTAAAATTGTAAACAATTTTTAATGCGTTAGATTTACATAACATCAGTGCTAAGCTGGCATTCTTAAAGAAGATTCGAATTAAAATATCTCGCGTTGAGTCTTGCTGCCCTTCTACTGTTTTCATATCTAGCCATTTTACATTTACATATTTATGCTTCTCACCTGGCGGCCGCTGGTCGAGGCGAGCCTTTAGCCAACCGTTTTCTGTATCTTCTAGACGAACAGTTAACAAATATTTATTATGCATAACAAACATATCAAAAGCAAAACAAAAACCCGCAACATTGCAAAAAAAATTACAGGCAAAAGCAAGAAGAGTTGAAAAAAGCAGAAGCGGAAAAGCAGCGTGTACGCGAGGAAAGACGCAAAGAAAAACACATGAAAAAGATCCAGGAGCGCGGCCAAGTAGAAATCTCGCAAAAGATTCGCATCGAGGAGCGCAAGCTGATGATAGCGCAACGCAAGTTGGAAAGCATACGGACTCTGGAAAAACTGTTTGAGAGGATACAGGTAGGCCAAAGTTAACAACAATAAGTCAAAGTGGTATTTTATATCACAAGTTAAAGGAT